AACAGGGCCCATGCGGGAGGCAACCAATCGATGTTTCTCTCTTATACTCTCTCTCCCTCCCTCCTACTCTCTCTAAAAAAAATCAATGGGAAAAATATCTTTGGGTGAACAACAACAAAAAAAGGTAAAAACCTGCAAGAAACAGAAGGGGAGGTGTTGAAAAACATGCAATGGGGTCAGGAAAAGGCAGTTTCTCCTATATCCCACTCCATTCCAACTAGGCACACTCAGAGTATATTCCTCTGGCAGGAAACCCTTTGTCAGCATCAAGGACACTCTGGATAATGTTTCCTCTTTTCCATTTTTGATGTACAATAGCACCATTTATCTAAGTAGAATAATACACAGCACCTTGGATGAACAAAAGGTTATAATTTAGCCAAGGCCTCTGCTGACAGCTTGAAAGTAAAGGCAACAAATAATAGAGATGCAATTATTACTTTAGTGATCTTCACAGATGTCAGACTCATTAGCACATGGTTGTCTTTATAACATGTATGAGAGAGTTATGTACATGGGTATCAGGTCATTTCCCACACTATAAACCAGAAGGATTTGCACTGTGAAAAAGTAACACTATCCAGAATGAGCAGTTTCTTAGATTATGTGTCAGAGGCATCAAAAGATACATACACAGCTTTTAAATCAAAGAAGAAAAAATCCCAAGTGACTACTCTTGGAAGCCTACATCTAAATAGTACATCATCATGTTCTACATACAGAACAGAAGTTCCATTACCTGAATTCATTCCACATTAAGGCAACAGTTAAGCTTATGCTAAAAAAAGGAGGAAATTATCTGGACTTAAAGCAAAAGAGAATACTGTAGCCCCCCCATTGTTTTCTGGGGGTACATTCCAAGATTCCTAGTGGCTGCCTGAAACCGCAGACAGTATGAACCCTATATATGCTATGTTTTTTCCTATACATATATTCCATGATAAAGTTTCATTAATAAATTAGGCACAGTAAGACATTAACAACAATAACAATAAAATATAACAATTACAACAATATACTGTAATTAAAAGTTATGCAAGTGTACTCTGTCTCTCTCTGATAATCTGATAATTGAGATGGTTACTAAGTGACTAACAGGTGGGTAGCGTGAATACACGGGGACAAGGGAATAATTCATATCTGGGCAGGATAGCATGAGATTTCATCACACTACTCAAAAGGGTGCACAATTTAAAACTTAGGAATTGTTTATTTCTGACACTTTCCATTTAATATTTTTGGACTACAGCTGACCACAGGTAACTGCAACCATGGAAAATGAAAAACCGTGGATAAGGGGGGACTACTGCATTTCCTGAATGATGATTCCAGAAAAATTCACAACTCTCTAAATCTCAAAATTTCACAAGTGCAATAATGAAAGAGGGTGAACAAGATCTAATGGGAGGATCTCCAGGATAGGAAAAGAGAGTAACATTATCTTCTAGTGAATATCAAGCTCTAAGACGGAGGAATAGAAAATGGGTAGCCAATCACCCTCTCCTCCCAAAAAACAAAAACCCAACCGTTTTCAGTTTTCTAATTAGGGAAAGTGAGCAAGGGTAAAAAGGACCCTGGGTGTAGGGAACTAAACCAACCTAAACTGGTCAAATTCAACTTTTGACCAACTTCTGATAGGTTGCATCACCTAAAAGCAAACCACAATGGAAAAATGTCCCGGGGGGAAAGAACAACGGTCGAGTCAGAGAGGTCTATTTTTGCAGGTGATGCCAAAGAGGCTTACCAGAATATAATTCTCCTGTGAAAATTACTGTGTTGGCATAAAGATCAATTTTTAGTATCTTTACCTAACTCCATTTGAAATTTCATGATTCAATTTTCTCAACTTAGGCTGCAAAATTAAAATAACCTGGATATCTTTTAAAAACACCAATGTTTAGGTCCTCCCAGAACTTCTGTTTAATTGATCCAGGGTTGGGCCCAAAGACTGATAATATTTTTAAAAATATGGTACTAATTATGTAATAAAGTTAAGAACCACATGCTTGAAATAAAAGGTTAGTAGCTGCCATGCTTCATTAATAGCACACCACTGACCTCTATGGGCTAGGTTCTGTTTAGAAACCAATGATAAAAGCAGCAGCCACAGTCTAGAGGCCTTGTTGATAGCCTTTCTGAAATAACTGAGCTCTAATAAGCCAGTACCAGGCAACCACATAACTCTAATTCTGGCCATATTTTAAATGGGGGTCTGGGTCAAATTCTACCACTCCTAGCAACACTATTCCTCCTAGGGAATAAAAGGTAGACCTTTAACAAAATAATTTCAAGAGTTTCTTGCCCTCCCTCAATTTCAGGCATAACAGGAGCCAGAAGTGTGGTTACTATTGATGTCAGGAGAAAAAAGCAACTGGGCTTACCAACTGGTATAGTTCAAACACCAAACTAAAGTGGTTCATAGTGGTCACAGATATTCTATGTTTTTACTATACAAAATGTGGTCTGTGAATCTGGGAGCTTGTGAGAAACACAGACAGGCCTCACCCCAGACCAACTAAATTAGAATTTGTCTTGTACAGGATCTCCAAGAGGTCTATATACACATTATAGTTTGAGAAGCACTGTTATAAGAATTCACTCAAGAAATTGTACTATCTATATAGATTAAGTGAAAACTTTAAGGATTATTTTCCTCTTTAAATTAGGTCATTTGCACAAGAATAAAAGCATTTTAAAAGCAGCATAGTCTACCGCTACCTTAGAAACTCATCGTCCATATAGTCAGATTTAGGAATTCCTTGTAATGCTCTCTTAAAAGGAACCTTGGTTCTCTGAGTGAATATACATTTAACCATGTACAGATCCAAAGCAAAAAAAAAGGGGGGGGGGCTTTTAAAGTCAGAAAAAGCTAAAATTTAGAGTTACTTAGGGACACTACTGGCCTACATAGCCAAGGCTGTATAATATTTAGGAATCCAATTTACTCCTTACCCCCCAAAAGAACATCCTTTACAAAAAACAAAAAGAAAAAAGGTGCATGTATGATGTTGGCTACTACAATCTAAGGAAGTTCTAACAGTTTTTCTAACTAAAGTAGTACTTGCGAGAATTCTAACAGGTGAATAAATAGCTATGTAAAAAGGAGCACACTCATTAGTTTTAGGGGCTTGCAAGAGCTAATACAAAGCCAAAAAGATAAAACACATCTCTTTCCTTCCATCCAAAATGGGTCAAGAAGCAAGAGCATAGAATCCTGGGCCAGGCAATATCAAAACATAGGGCCTCTTTCTCCCCTCCATCCTTCAAACTTACCTTGTCATTCTTAGGTACAATGAACAAGCAGGGAAATGCATAAGTAGGGTTGTTAGCACATTAATTTGAGGAGGATATAACACTTAACCTGAGGTTGATGCATCAACAGAAAAGGACAAGCTATTTCAATGTTTATAAAGGATTTCTGGAAGTTGCCATGAATATTTCAATATTCATTTATCAGTCTCCTGAGTCTCTAAGGAGTCTATACAGCAATGCAGAATGATCATATGAGGAAGCTACTGTTCTTACATAATCAGTCAACTATATTCACTAAAGATATGAATATGAAAAGCAAATACTTATATTCCCAAGAAACACTAGAGGGCGGCTCATTTGTGTCACTATAAGCTGGAATTCAGAGTTTGGTCAGTGTAGACTCTGAAAGCAGTAACTTGCCATCAGTAAAATGCACAGCCCACAGAGATGTGACTATAACCCCATTTCCTTAGACTCTTGGCCAGCCAAAAAATAAATGTACCTGTAGTGGGTGGCATAAATGCAAACTAGAATGCTGCTCATAAAGTAGAAGAGAAAATCTGGTGTATGTAGTAGAAAATAAGGTTGTTTTGTTTATGTAATCTCTGAGAACATACATTTTCGTATCTATGGCATCTGCCTTCTAATTTCTGATGTTCAAAAAGAAATCAGTTTGTCAGGCATCTTTCTAGTCATCAGGTTGACAAACATCCTATATGCAACTGTCTAATTCCATCACAGTTAAGTACCTAGTTTGCAGGGAGCCATGTGATGAAACCTGTTAATTTTCTGGCCTTCTCTACACAGATGAAAGGTCATCCTTAATATTTCTCATTTATTTTCTACAGCAGCAAAAACTAATTTTGGTTCCCATTGGTGGCACATATTCAGATACTCTGGACTTTGGAGCCTTTTAGTATTAGAATCCTGGAAGCTAATTAGATTGGAAGTATGACAGAGTGAGGGCGTGGGGAGGAGAACAACCAATTAAGCAGTACTTCCCAACTGTAATAAAGGTATGTTTTTAATACAAATGGCTGCCTCAAAATCTTTTAGAGTCAGACAGGCCATACCCAATAAAATATTAAAAAGGCAAAGGTTTGAAAGCCTCAAGGGAGGATGATGTCTGTGAGGTCACTTAAAAGCTATTCAGGTGAAAAGGGGAACGACGGAGGCTATCCAGAGTTAAGAAGCAGGAGCAATAATGAACTCTGGAAAGGACATTAAACATTAAGATTGCTGAGTAGGCTGGTTAAACATCGAACGTTCTATTTAAAGGCAGGACAACAAAATAATCCTGTACACTTGCAGGCGTACCTCATACCACTGATGGACAGTATCATTAATTCTCTCAAGATAAATAATTTGGTCCTTTATCAACAGACAATTCTCTGCTAATCAAGGAAAGATCTAGTTCTAAAAATCTAAATAGCCCGGCCAGGCCTGGCTCAGAGGTTGAGCGTCGGCGTAGGATCCAGGCGATCGCGGTTAGATTCCCGGTCAGGGCACATGCCCGTGTTGTGGGCTCCACCCCCAGTTGGGGACGTGCAGGAGGCAGCCGATCAATGACTCTCTCATCATTGATGTTTCTATCTCTCTCTCTCCCTCTCCTTTCCTCTCTCTGAAATCAATAAAGATATATTTTAAAAATAAATAAATAAATAAAATAAAAATCGAAATAATTTAAAGTTCTTTAGCATATCAAGAATTAAAAACAACCAAGAGAAAAAAGGAAGAAAGGTGCTTACCAGACTATCTAGTCCTCCTCCCAAGAGATCCACTGCTCCCACCTGCATGGAGGACACCTGTGGCACATTGACTGGGGGACCGAGGTCAAGGTTTAAAAGGTCCCCTAGAAGGTCACCTTGAGAGGGAATAACCTGAGTCTGTTCCAGGTTGGTGGCAGTGGTGGTGCCAACAGGGCTGTCACCTGCATCAGTGCTATAGTCACACACACAAAGAAGGGAAAAGAGAAAAGTTAATTTCATCTGGGACATAACAACATGGCAACAAGTGTATGTCAGATATGTAAAACATTGGGGGGGAAAAACCTCTTAATTTATGATAATTTATTGATGTACATGAAGAGATAACAGCAATTCTTGTTATCAAAATATAGTTACTAAAATGAAAATAAATATATACTATATAACCTCATTAGTCAGTCAATATTGAGTACCTACTCTATGAGGGAGAACCATAATGAGAAGTCTGGGGAAATACAAAAGAAAGAAAGCAGTACATTTTCTGTCTTCAAATAACTTACACTCTAACAACAACAACAAAAATCAGCATTCATAAAATGACTGAAAAGCACATTCACTGTGTAACAGCAGAAACGAGCATTGTATAACAGCAGAAATGAACATTGTGTGTGTGCCTGCATATGACAGGATATAGATGAAAAACAAAACACAACCAGGTGGGGCTGACTCTAAAGGCTTCTGAGAATGGTTTTATGGCTAGATTTTGAAGAACAACATAGTTTGAGAAACTACCAGGGAGAGACCTTCCAAAAAGGAAGGGATGATTTGTGCAAAGGCACAGAAAGGACAATTTGACCTTAGGATGGTGAAAAATTATATTGGCAGGAGCAGAGACTGGAATTGGTAAGATTTGGGGGAAGACAAGATGAGGAAGACATAACTTTGAAACTAGTCTGGAGTGTTAATTTTTTTATATGACAGACAATACAGAATCACTTTTATTTGTCAAACAAATAACTAAAAATAACATTAGAGCAGGGGTGGGGCATCTTTTTTCTGCCAAGGGCCATTTGGATATTTATAACATCATTCAAAGGCCATATAAAATTATCAACTTAAAAATTAGCTATGAAAAAATCTCCTAGATTTATTGAATTTTGAGTCCCACTTGCAGTTGCCTTGGCAGGGCCAGGTGTTCCCCACCCCTGCACTAGAGGAACATTATTCTAGCAGCTGTGTGTATAATGGACTGAAGCTGGGAGAATGGACATAAAGATCAGCTAAGAGTAATCTAAACTGCTACTGTCACTACACTAAAAATAAAAAGGAAGTGGTAAGCTCCAAGATATAATTAAAAGAAGTGGACAGAGGGAAGCGATTTTTTCAATAAATGGTGCTGAGTCAACTGGAAAAAATGAGCCTTTTTGACTCTGACTGCTCACAACATAAATAAAAATTAAAGAGATAAATGAGACAAATGTGAATGGGAAGATCTAGGAGAGTATCGTGATGACCCTGGAGTAGACAAAATTTTCTATAAAAAGTACTAACCATCTAAGAAAAACACTGATGGACTCGACTTCATTAAAATTAAGAACATCTTTTCTTCAAATGACACCATTAAGAGAGTGAGAGAAGGTATTCTTCACAGACTGGGAGAAAATGTTTGTCAATACACTTATCTGACAAATTACTTATATCCAAATTATACAATGAATCCCTACAAATCATTCAGTCATTATATAAAGAAATCCTACAAAGAAAGACAACTCATTGAAAAATAAGGAAAATACCAGGCATGTCACAAAAGGGGATATACTAGCAGTCTATAAAAATAACGAGGTACTTCATTTTTACTCATCAGGAAAATGCAAATTAAAACTTCAACAAGGTACCACTACATACCCACCAGAATGACTCAAAGTTAAATGACTGGCAATACCAAGTGCCGTTGAGGATGTGAACCACCTAGAACTCTCACACATACACTGCTGGAAGGGGATACACTGGTACAATCACTTGCGGAAACTGGCAGTGTCTCCTGTAGCTAAATATACATCTATCCTATGACCCAGCAATTCCACACCTAGGTGTATACACAAGAGAAATGAGTATATAAATCATTCATCTTGGTTGTATCACAAGGCTCTTTCTGAACCAAAAGACATACAAGAATATTCACAGCAGCTTTATCCATTGGAGCCCCAAACTGGAAATAACCCAAAAGTACATAACAAAAGATACAAATAAATTGTAGCATATTTGGGCAATGGGACACTGTATATCAATAAGTAGGAATGCACAACTGGTAACACACAGAAATTATGTTGTATGAAAGAAGCCATATCCAGAAGAGTAACTACTGTGTGATTCCATTTATATGATTTTCAAGAAAAGGCAAAACTAAACTATAGTAATAGAAGTCGAAACAGTGGTTATCTCTGAAGGGTTGGTATTAACAGCAAAAGGGGTGTGAAGATTCTTCTAGAGTGCTGGAAATAGCCTTTTATCTGAATAGGGTGGTGGTTACATAAGTGTATACATATGTAAAAATTTATTGAGCTATACATTAAAAATCAGTGCACTATTTGTACTAAGATTATGATAAATATCAATTTAAAAAAAACAGTTTACACCATGTTTTCATGTGATCCTCCCGAAAATAGAACCCTGTGTTTTGGTGACATTGCCACTTGCCCAAGATCATGCAACTAGTAATTAGCAAAGCTAACACTTGATCTGTCTTCTTATCTAGACCCCTCCTAGATAGAGGACCCCCACAGCTATGTTTAGTAGATAAGTTCCCTAAGGGGAATAGAGAAGCACAGAAGAGAAGGTTCAGAATGAGCCTTGCGATACAACCAAGATTAATGATCAGAGAAGAGAATGAACACAGAACAGCAAAGATTAAAGAGAGAAATTATTAATTATTATTAAGGAATTATTAAAATCTAATTTTGTTAGGCTTGATAATATATTGTGATTTTTTAAAAGTCCTTATCTATTACAGATACCATTTAAAGTATTTCTGAGTGAAATGACATGAGGTCTGGGATTTAAAATACTCTAACTCCTCCCACTGACACCCCAAAATTGTGGGGGTGATAAATGAAATATATAATTGGCAAAATAGTAATCACTGTTGAAGCTGAATGATGAATATACATGTTTGTTACACCATCCTATCTGGCATGTTTTCTAAAATTTATGTAATAGCTTTTTTTAAAAAAAGGCAAAAAATTGTAAAAATTCCAATAATAAACAAATTTTTCTTAAAAAGTCTAGGTTTTGACAATACCTGAAAATAGAGGACTAAGAAGGATGAAGAATCAAACTCAGAGGACAAACAAAAACTAAGAAGCAAAAGAATAGGGATGCTCCTTATAATCACAGAGGAACCTGGAGGAGTGATGGGAAAAATAATATGCTGTTTTGAATTCTGTTAAGTTTTAAGTAAAAAAACACACACACACAAAAACCACAAGAAAAGAAGTCCAACAGACAGCTAAAGACAAGGGATTGGCAGTCAAGAGTTCGAGAGGATGACAATGGTGGGGAGAGGGACTGGGGAGGGGGAAGGAACTGGGTGGAACGGGTCATTGGGGAGAAAAAGGGACATCTGTAATATTTTAAACCATAATAAAATTAAAAAAAAAAAAGAGAGGTCAACTTGGGAAGAAATTCATATACACATCTCAGGGGAAATCAGCGGAGTAACAAAGGGCTGTGGTGTTAAGAGCAAGGGTCTAGATAAGAAGACAGATCAAGTGTTGGCTTTACTAATTACTAGTTGCATGATCCTGGGCAAGTAGCAATGTCACCAAAACACAGGGTTCTATTTTCGGGAGGATCACACGAAAACCTGGTGTAAACTGTAAAGCTTTGTAATATATCAGTGTAGCTGTGTTTAGTAGATAAGTTCCCTAAGGGGAATATATAGAGATGCACAGAAGAGAAGGTTCAGAAAGAGCTTGCGATACAGCCAAGACGAATGATCATAGAAGAGAATGAACACAGCACTGCAAAGAGTAAAACAAGAAAAACAATCTAAGAAAGATAACTTAGGAGGAAAAGTGTCAAGAAAGCTGAGATGTAAAATTATCTAAATAGGGGACAGGGGTGGTGGTGGTGGTGCAAATATAGCCAAAAATTAATTAAGAAGTCAAAAGGGGAAGCAATTTCATATATACCTGTCAAGAAATATATGAAATCACCACAAATGATATTTCTCTGCATATGAAAATTCTATCATTTCATGACATGTGCCATTTAGAAAATGTGACAGAACACATTTATCAGTACCTCTAAATAGAAGGTACATAACAATGCACATATTTTTCTTCACTAGAATAGAAAGAGTATTATGAGAAGATAAAGGGAGTTAGATGAAAAGAAGTACGATTCTAGATTCTACAAGTTTAAGAATATCGTAAATCATTATGCATTCTTTCTAAACGAAAAATACAAGAAAATTAACATGAAAATGTTTCCCATTGTGAACTTCATTACTGTTATCAAAGCAATATTTTCAAAGGGTGAGATTTTTCTAAATTAGACAACTATTTACCATCTCACCCCCAAAGAGCAGCTGACAAGTATAGAAATCAATACCCAACTGAACTAAACATTTTTAAACCTCTAGAAGGGACAGAATAAGGTGTTACAGTGTTACTGTATTGCACATCAGATGCGTCTTACTTAACCTTATGCTGCAGAAGAGAGCTAGGTAATGCCATGCAGCAATATAGCATCTTATTTATTTCAAAGAAAAACTTATTTCGGCATTTGTGTTTCCTTTAAAAACACAAAACAAGCACAAATGGACAAAAGGAGGTTATCCAAAAAGGATTCGCATAAGGAATTGTGAAGGTAACAAATTAAAGGTTATTAATCAGATAAGACCTTATGTAAGAGACTGTTTCTTTTTGCATAGTTTAATATTGTTTTTTTCCTTGTGTTCTAGAAAGGGCTGTTTTTGTTTCTTGATTTCTTTCACTTTCCCCCTTCCATTTGAGGGTCAAAAGTTATTTTAAAAAAAGGTAATTTAAATGGCATATAAATATTGCTACAGAGGCAAATTACAACAGAAAATCCATATCTATTATCAAAACTTGAAGCACAGATTGGGAGATGTACTTAGAAGTCACATCGTCATATCTAGAGAATATTAAATATTTTAAGGCCTAACCCTTATGAAGGCACAGTCTGCTATGGGTGAAAATCACAGCACTTTCCCTAAAAACAAAGATTCAACCCAATTAAAGGCTAATGAAAGATTAATAATTATTTTCTTTGGTATTGCCCTTTCCTTGTTCATCTGTAACCATTTTATTAAAATGGAGCCCAAAATGTGGACTATACTAATTTGTAAAGCAATAAATCCTACATTCTGGCTTAAACAGCAATATATATTAGACAACAGTATGGAAGTGCAATTACTCCAACCACTTTGGGATCAAATTCTACTTAGATTTAAGGATTATTATGATTAATGAAGGAAGGAGATTCTGAAACAATTATACCCATAAAAGCACTTATTAGAGTACTGCTCCTCCCAAATTAAAATTTTAAGATGGCTAAAAAGCAAGAGTTCCATGTTATCTGAGAGCTTGTTCACAATAAAATTTCTTACTAAGACAACTTAATTTGGCAAAAAAGGTACAGGTAACTGAAAAACTGTGTCTACACAGAATCTACGCTGCTTTTATGAAACAATTCCTGCAAATATTATTTTAGTAACAGCTTTATAGCACAGGAGAAGCAGTATCTGCTATCACTGTCCGTAGACTTCAACCAAAGTTACAGCAAAGGATTAAGATAGCTAAGCGTATGTAGGCTTTTTTCCCAAGTTTTCAACTCTCGGAAGATTTCTAGCCTCACCTTATTGGAGACTTAAGTAACTTTGAAACTTTATCAGTTTAGATGAGCTTCACAATTTCCTAACCCATAATCTTATCAACTCCGAGATTAGAACAGAGAGGCCTTTTACCCATGGTGTGCATGTGGTCACTGGTATTCACACAGAGCCCCCAGGGCAGTATAGTAGAGGTTTGCTATCCATTTTGCAAACCTACCAGGTAATAAACGCATGAGGAAGACCAACTCTGTCTAAGCAGAGTCACTTCTCACTCAAATCTAGTTCACCTGCTTACCTTCCATGATGTATTGGCAAGTGTTTGCGATGGATTCCGTGACTTCCTTCCACAAAAGCATTGGGAGGTTTGTGGTACACCGAGGCCAAAGAACCAATGTGGCAGATTAGCTCATCCAACAGAGTTGGCTCAATAAGATCTGTCTCCTCAGAGATCAGTGGCTTCTCAGACAAGACTACTTCTTTGGCTGTAACAGGGTCCGTTGAGAGAAGCCGCCAATAAATATAGCCCCTATCTCGAAGATCAGGATTATCAGAATCCTAATGAAAAGAGAAAGGCAAGAAGGTTTAAATGAAGCTTTTCTCAATACAGAAACCCAAAACTGCTGGATTTATTATCAAGGTAATGCTGTAGTGATTTAAACACAGTTGGCTGTCAAGACTCAACTTAGATTCAATATAGTTTTAACACAGTCATAATTCTATAACCTCTATGTTTTAATGAATTTAAACATAAATTGAGATGGCTTAGTTTTAAAACTCAAATTCAAAATGAAATCAGGAAAAGGAAAATAAAGCTTAATCTAGTAAAAAATTAACTGATGAAATGGCTTTGGGACATAAAAATGATTTTTAGCTGCTATAAATATTAGCAGGATTATTCATGAAATATATAATTTCACCCATACCTTCTTTCTTCACTCAAATATTCAAGTATCTCCTATGGAGATACTGTCTAGGCCCTGAAAATAGAGATAACAACCAACAGTGCCTGACTTTAAGGAGCTCAAAGGGTATTAATTATTATAATATAGTATGACATATTACTATTATTGAAATAATAAAAAACTGTTAAAGAGAGCACAGGGTGGCACTTGAACTTAATGGTCTTGCTTTCCTGTGGTAGTTTTAAAATAATTTTTACATGCTCATCACTAAAACAGTGTTTTATCAATGCCACATCACAATTTAGAAGTGTATAATATAAAAGTAAGTCTCCTCCAATTATCCAGCCCTTCCCCACCACAACTATCCATCCCCAAAATAGCCATGCTAACAGTGTGTTATTTATTTTTCCAGACAGCTCCCACAAATATGCATATTTATTTTACACAAAACCAGCTTCATACTACATATACTGCTCTGCATGTTGCTTTCCATACTGGCACACACAGCTGCAGTTTGCCACTGTATATGAAGCACTCATTATTTACTAGTGCCCTACTGATGGACATTTAGATTGTTGCCTCTTTGCCTATCTATGTATGCTTGTGATCCTTACAAAGTGGCAATAAATATCCTGGTATCTACCTCTCAGAGTAAGTCTATATGGAGGCATTTATTTATGCACAACTTGTTCCAGCAGTATCCTGCTATTAAAAGCAACAATAAGTCCCTGTTTCAATTTCTGTATTTAAAACACACATACAAAAATGTTCTCTTTAAACTAGGCCAGTATGAGGGCTTCCATATGAGTTATAAGTAAATAGATGAACCAGTTCATGATTTAGCCACTTAAGGCACATATCATTCAGCTCAATAACAGCAATGATCCCGATGGTTTTGACTACATGGTTTAAAATGTTTTTCCTTAGTCATATATTGTTTAATTTGCACTCATACTGGGTTTCTGGTTAAAGACAAATAACCATAACACTGAGATACAGCAAGTTAGTAGAGTATAAACACGCTAAATTTTATGGCAAGTTAATCTTGACCACATTCATAGCTTGCGTTGTTCTAATGGAAATGAATATATATATACATCATATATCGTATCAAAATGTTCACAGTATTTGAAAAGCCAGGGTTAAAAAAGGGAAAACAGTGATAACACCCAAATTAGATGATTCTGTTTGAATTGTGTTGTGGAGGGTAAACTGCTCCTGAGGAAGTATTTATAAATATCAGCCTAAAACCGTCTCACTTAGTTTTTCATTTTGGAAACAAAGCTTGAACATTATAAAATATAAACAAGTTGATATTTTAAAAAGAGCAGAATACAAGTTTCTTAAAATATCAGGTCAGAAAAGCAATCCCTCCTCTGGTTTTTGTTGATATATAAATTAAAATTTGATCTATATATTCATTCCCCAAAGCACACCATTTAAAATTTGTAGACTAGCTATGCTTTCTATTACATAATTAAATGAACACTGTACATCACTTAACTGGGAAAATTTGATTTGTCTTTATAGAATAGTAATATTATTAGAGGTATTAATATAAACTTTATATTACAGTTTAATCAGATACTAATCAAAATAAAATACTTTTATTTCAAATTCTCTTATATATCATGCACATATTTAATCAAATGGCAAAAAAAACCCCTTCTGTCTGGATTGTATACAATACAAAATTATATACTTCTGTGAAAAAACTTTAGGAGTCCCTCACAAATTCAAAACACTGCAATAGGGCAAACTGTTAGAGACAGAATCACTGGATCAAAGGATATACGCAGTATAAATCTTAATAGACACTGGCTTTAAAAATATAGTTCTAAGTAATTTTCAATTCAGTTTGCATTCACAAACAGTAACTACTATGAGTTTGTCAGTGTGCACATTTGTCCCAAAGTGTTACTTTTCTAAATGTATCTTTATTGTTAAAAGTATTACAGATGTCCCCTTTTTGTCCCACAGTGGTTTAAAAAGACACTAAAATTTCACTCACAAATAAATGTATCAATTTATGCTATTGAAAACATTGCTTAATTTCAGGGACATTAAAAATTTTCTGCTGTACTAATTAAAAATATATATTTCTATGAAAAATGAGTGTAAATTTTCCAAGATTGAAAGTCAAAAGTAGGCAAAGAGCTCCACTGTTCAAACTCCACTGTTCTGAGGACTGATTCATCAGGCCAACCATAAGATGGATATCAGTGCCTCACTATCACACGGAAGCCACAATAAATCAGGCCCTGTCAAGACTTGTGACACGAAAACAGAACCTTTTAATCATTTTAATGTATCACTATATGTTTGGTGACTCAGAAAATTTGGTTTTGGATCTACTATACTGTTAGCCCCATAGACCCTCATCAGGATCTCAAGAAAATAGTCTATTTCTAAAAATTTGAGAGTTTCCAAAACAATTCTTACCAGGCAAGCTCTAAAAACAGTAATTCTTAATTTATAATGTGCATCAGCATTTACACACCAGGAAAGCCACTGAAAGCATAGATATGAGTGCCAAACTACAAAGATTCTGATTCATTATGTCAGAAGTGGGGTCCAAGAATTTGCATTTTTAAACAGGCAGCACAGGTGACTTTTGATGATGGTGGTCTCCACTTCATAGATAGAAAACACTAAGATGAAGACTTCTCTTCTATGTACTATGCAAAAAGTAATTACTAAAGCCTGGAAATTTCTGTGTGTATTCTTCGCTAATTCCTCTATAACTATCAAAGCAAAAAAGACAAATCTTTGAAATGAAGCCATGATTCAAGGGTTGGTTTTCTTTTCCTCTAATAATATTTCTAACTATATCACCATTTTATTTAAAATTAGAAGCACAAAGATTTTACCTATACTTCACTGAACTGTCAGCATAGGTAAAGAATAGTATTAATGAACTCTACTATAGAGATAGGCGAACAGCTATATGAGGAAGAAATTTGCTCAGTTGTGTCCTGAACCAGTGGACATAGCAGAAACAGAACCCTACCACCCAATTCAAATTAACACAGTTCAGCAGATCATACTGCCCTCAACTTAAATTGGTACTTACCAGCGATAAATATCAGGTTCTTATTTTACAAACTTGAGAAAAAAATTCCAACTTCCAGTGGAAAAGACTTATATAAATGTGCTTGTCCTTTTACGCTAACTACTCAGATCTCATTAACTGGACCAAAAGAGCAAGTTCAGAGAAACTGCTTAATTATTTATAGCCAAATATGAAATAATCATCAACAATGATCTTAAAACCACTAAGTTCATGTATACATGCTGGCTGATACACAACAGTGCTTCAGGCCACCAAGCAGGCACTGGGTATTCTTAGTCATTCTTAACCTTCCGACTAGAGCAGCAGCACAGCACGTGAATAAGGGCAAAGACTCTGGAACCAGGCTGCCTGGTTTGAGTCCAACTCTACCCCATACTAACTGGGCCTAGCTGTCTCAGTTTCCTTATTTGTAAAACAGAATAGTCACAGTACTGAGATTGAGTTGACATGTAAAGTGCTTACTACAATGCCTGGTACATAGTAATCACTTATTTATACCCTGCCCTGTTCTAAAAAGAAATTTACAAGTTTACGAAAATGCATCTAAGGTTAGAACGCATAAATCAGAAATAGAGGAAGAAAAATGCATGCTACAAAGACCTACACATTTTCTCTCGGAGATCCTTAAATTTGCTTCTCAGGTTTGAACAACTGATATGAAAAAGAAATCTAGCCAGGTAAGTTATTCAGAGAGGCAGTTAACTAACTATATATCAATGCACAGAAGAATCCAAAACTGGCTTATACATAACAGTGCTTCAGGCCGCAAAGCAGGGAATGGGTATTCTCAAAGGAATTTAGAGGAATTTGTTTGATAGGATCTTATAAAGAAGAAAACACATAAATGAACAATGACTCTGACAACAATAGATCCAAACAGGATAGCTTCTCGTGACGACACTATAGGATGATGGTACCAGTACAGGGTGAGCAAAGGTAGGTTTACAGCTGTGAGTTCACAAAACACGGAGTTAATAGAGCTAATCATGACCTGCATGTCTTTTTCCATACAAATAACTATACAACTATAAACCTATTTTTGCCCACCCCTGTATATAATAGGCATTGTTTTTATATTTTACATGATCTAAAGACTGGTGAACCCTTCCAATTAAAACCTCCCCAAATGAAACCTTCTTGGGGAGTTTCACCACTTCCTACCATTTAAAATCAACTCCTTTGTTTTTCCAGATTTCTTACCTGTGTTGCCAAACTCAAGACCTGCTGTACCAGCTCCTGTGTTTCTGATGGTTTCTTGAGAAACAGCTTCACTATGGCAGTAAGTAGAGTGAGCTGCACCTAAGCAGACGTACTTTAATAAATAAAATGAAAGGCATTTGCATTCTTCATATCATTTTCCCAACTATGAATTATTATGGGGTCTTTCTGATTTTGATTAAGAGACAAAGATTAAAACTAAGCCAATATCAATAATAGCAGTCAAAGGTATCCATCAACTGAAAACTCACTAGCCTCCTATTCCCAAACTGCATTTTTGGCATCAAAAATTGCTTATCTGTCTCTGGCCCAGATAATTACCTGTATTTCTTTCTTTTTGAAAATATATCTTTATTGATTTCAGAGAGAGGAAGGGAGTGGGAAAGACAGATAGAAACATCAATGATTAAAAAGTCGTCATTGATCAGCTGCCTCCGGATGCCCATGACTGGAAATTAAGCCAGCAACCTGGGCATGTGCCCTGACCGGGAATCAAACTTCGTTCTCCTGGATCCTAGGTCAGTGCTCAACTGCTGAGCCATGCCAGGCTGGGCATTACCTGTATTTCTTAAAGTACATGCTAACATTGTGATGACAACAGAACTGGTTTCTGACCAAGTCCTTCATTATTTACTTCCACCAAAAGCTATAATTTTGGGGGAGCTAGGAAATCACTGGGGGGAAAAGCAGAGATAGTAGGTTTATGCCAGATCACAGCCAATTAAGAGTGGGGTGCTGGCCCTGCCTGGTGTTTCTCAATGGTTAGAGCACCGGCCTGTGCACTGGAGGGTTGCAGGTCCGATTCCCACCCCCAATCAGGGTGTGCGTAGGAGGCACCAATCAATGTGTCCCTCTCACATTGATGTTTCTCTCTCCCCCAACCCTCCCCCCCTTCCACTCTCTCTAAAATCAATGGAAATATATCCTTACTCTTTGGGTGAGGATTAAAAAAAAAAAGAATGGAGTGCTGAACCACAAGGCTCCTGGCTTGCATGTGTTCCTTGTAAAGGCCTATTAAAATTACCATGGTGAATTACACACATAAACTTTAATTTGCAGTAAGCACAAATGCTAGGGGAAAAGGATTGAATAATTTATCTGCTTCTCTGGGCCTGGGTCCTAAGGTCAGGTCTCTCAGTTTTGGTAGAGAAGAGATGAAGATGGAAAGGAGTATAACCATCCACAGAGAATCTTTTCAAACTGCATAGGCCAGCACTCACCCAAGTCTCAGGTGAAAACACTTGCTGTAATAAGCCATTAACTATCACTAACAGGAACGGGTAATCATCTTTAGGTGGCAGAAAATTAAAAGATATTTACTGCTCTAAGCCAGTAGTTGTCAAAGTGTGTGGTTCTAGAGCAGCAATAGCAGCACCACCACCCTGAACCTTTTAAGAAAGGAAAATGCTTAGGCCCTTCTCAGACCTACTGAGTCAGAAACTCTAGGGGTGGAGGCCCATCAACCTGTGCTTTAGCCAGCTTTCCAGATATTTCTGAGGCTAAAGTTTGAGAACCACCGGTCCAAGTTAGGTAGGTTTGTTTCACCCGAAATAAGCACAACTAAAATAACTCATCCTTTTTGGGAGAAAAATAAATATATAAACCTCTCTCACATGAAACTGCTGAACCTCTACTTTCCTTGAAATCTTCTCAAAAAGATATATGACATAGGATATAGATGAACACTTACCTGGGTGCTCTCATCATGAAAACCCTCCAGGAAGCTCTCTAGTAACTCATCTGCATTGTCAATTCGTTCAGCATATTCTCCCACAATCCAAATCATAGCTGCTCGCGCGTCTGGCTCATCCAGAGAGTCTAAGTTCTCACACAAAGTGGCAATGATACTTTCATACCTGATATAACAAAATGGACTGTAGTTAATGAGGGCAAAACTGGGAGTGTGCAGGAGGCAATCAATCGATGTGTCCCTCTCACATCGATGTTTCTCTGTCTCTGTCTCTCTCCCCCTCCCTCCCTCCTTTCTAAAAATCAATAGAAAAAATACCCTTGGGGGAGGATTAACAAAAAACAAAAACAAACAAAAGCAAACAAACAAATAAAAACTGAGACATTTCCCAGAGTGAGAAGGAGCACAATCATTAATAATGCCTGGTAACAGGAGGAAACTGGGATTATACCTGGACAACCTGGAATATATGGGTATCCTATTTAATAGTAACTTTGCCACCAAAGAACCTGGTTAACTTCAATATATGCCAATCAACAGTGTATATTCACACAGAGTTTAAATTCTTCTAAAAGTAATAAAACAGGGTGAAAAATCAGGTTTTAACCCGTGCTAACCATCTTATATGTTTCTGATTTTAATAAAGTACCAGTTACACTACAAAAAATAATTCTTACCTAGCCAATTTCAAAGTGTCTTACTTAAACATTTCCTAAATGATCTGAGAAAGAGGAGTAAAAGTATTTGGACATACTTATTTGGGTACTTGCGGAAGATGTCCCTGATGACAACAATTGCCTCTTGAACCACATAATTTACTTTGGTCTGGATGAGATCAAGCAACGTGCTTACACAACGTTCTGCAGATTGCTGTGAAGAGGAACATAATAAGAGAAGTTGGATGCTCTATCCAATAATATAACCTCAATATAAAAAAAAAATCTGAAACACACAGGTGCATCAACTAAACCAGACTAAAAGATCAGGCACTTAATTTGACCAAGCTATACTAGAGGCTGGACTATCTGATGGAGATATACAGAAGTTCTAGATATACTACAAATTTTATTCACTACAAACATATACTGACAGTGAGTCCATTCAAATGAAAAGAGCCATCTTGTACATCCAGGAGAATAAAAATGGGAATAAAGCAAGGTAGGAGGTGTTTTATCTGAAGTTTATGTATGAGTGGAGACCAGAAGGCGACTTTAAATCTCTTGAAATGAAATTGCTGAACTTCCTATGTGCATACAAACATATTTTCCAGGGCGAGAGTCCACAGCTTTCATTGTAGTTTCAAAGTTATCTGTGACTCAAAAGAGTAAGAAGAATTTGTCATCTTTTGGGCTGTAAACCAAAAGTCTATGGCCTCAGGTAAATTGCAATTTTCCACAGCCTACAGTTCATCTATAAGATAGAATCTAGTAATCTTTCATCGATGAAGGGAATATGAAAGAATACAAGTGATAAAATTAATGTATTGAAGCTGTGAGTCACAGTTTTTAAAAGGAGATGGGCTCCAGAAGAGAGATCTAAAAATCAAGAACTAATTTATCATATATTATAATACACTGTGATAGGTCACTCCAATACATGTCTCCTGATAAGATGCAATGGAAAGTACACAGCAACACCTAAAAGGTATACTTGCCAAAAACATTAAATATAAATATTACCAAGCCTCTACATTTAATTACATGAAGGGGATGGAGGACTGAGAAAACCCTAAAATACAACCAGCCAAAAATCCAGACTCAGAAATTCTATAAGCCTAATGACCTAGCCCCTTCAAAAAATGGTGCCAAAAGAGGTAAATAAAGGCTTAAGAGATACATAACCAAATGCAATGTGTGGATCATGTTTAGATTTTGATTCGAACAAGCCACCTATAAAAAGGAATTTAGATACAATTAGAAAAAATTGAACATGGCATGGGTGTTCGATTAAATTAAGAATTATTGTTAGTTTTTGGGTGTGGCAATGGTATTGTGACAATATATTTTTGTAAAGGACCTTATCTATTAGATATTACACACTAAACTACTCTAGTAAAATCATACCTGGGATTTGCATGAAAATACAATCATACCCCACTCCCTTTTAAAGTGAGAGAGAGAAGAAGAAGAGAAAACAGGGAGAAATATTGATGTTTGTCCAAGATGGATGACAAGTACGTGAGAGCTCAATAATCAATTTTACTTTAGCATATGCCTCAAATTTTCTCTAATAAAATCTTTTAAATGTACTATAATAATTTAAACCATTCCAACCAATTTAATGAAAACAAAATTGGATCTTGAGGATATTTATATGAAGTCATATATACAATGATTCTGTTGGACCATGAAATGATTCTGCCATCTTTTATATATATTTTTGGATTCTGTTTTATTCATTTTCAGCTAGTAATTCCTGTGCTGTTATTACAACAGCAAAATAGATTTAAAAAATTTAATATATGCTGTGATAAATTTAAGTGTGTAGGATATAGGCTGCCATAAGATTAAATTATTATAAATTAGGTAATACAAATAAAGTGCTTATCACAGGGTTTGATATAACACTAACATCTAGTGAGCCCTTAGAATCTATTTTCCCCCCAAGAAATATCATTATTATAATAGAGACAAACAAAAGGACATTTCCCATGATGCATGAACATTGAAAAACATATGTCTGGGATAGTAATTTTTCAGCAAATTGTCACTGCAACCATATTGCGTTTGATTTAAAAAAAAAAACTACCAATAAAACAGTATGGTAGAGGGGCAAAAATAAACATGCAATCACTGTATATATAAAAACGTCCAGAAACAGGGAAACACATACGCAGATATAAAATTTAGTATATGATGAAGACAACATTTCATAACAGTAAAGAGAAGATGATTTGTTCTGGTGTTTGATCGCCACACTCATACCTTTCACCAAAATTATTTCTATTTTAATTATTGATTAAAAACATCTTTAAATGTAAAAACAAAATCATTGCCATACAAGTAGAAGATAAAGGTGAATTTTACATAACTTTGAGGTGGAGCACAATTTTCTAGGTGTGGTACTAAAGATACCATTGAAAAAACTGATAGAACTCTAAGAAAATGTAAACTACTGTGTATTAAAAAGTCTAATGAAATCAAAAGGAAAACAAATTGGAAAAATAACTGCCAATGAAATGAAGGGTTAATATCTTTAATTACAAAGGGTATTTAAAATAATCAACATGGAAAATATAACTCACTGGAAAAAGATGCATAGGACATGAACAAGCAATTCCAAATGGTTAACATAAGCATCATGGAAAAAATGTTCACCTCAACTAGAGTTCAAAGACTTGGCTACAAGGATCCTCCTTATACCATTAAATGGAAAAAAGAACAGAAACAACTTTAAAGTCCTATAATAAAGGGAAAGGGTAAATAAATTATGAAGCCATCACATATATGTCTATAAACCACTAAAAATGATGTGAAATGTTATCAGTAACATGGAAAAGTGTCCATGTATAAGTGAAAAAAGGAGATTAAAAAACAAAAGTATATAGTATTCGTAGAATGATCTCATTTTTGTAAAAAATAAATCTGTTTATGGAGGACTATATAAACAAAGATTTAAAATCATGTTCTCATCACCTCTGGGAGAATAGAATGGGGGTAGGAGAAAGCAGAGTGTTCTATTTTCATTTAATGTGTCATATTTTTATGATTTTATGTAATAAACATATACAGCTTTCTTAAGAAAATATAGTTTTTGTTTGTTTTTAAATTAAGGAATGAGACACAAACCCATATCTTATCCTGATCTATAAAAATCCTAAATGGTAAACACCACAGAACAGAACATTAGGAAGTGAAGAACTCCTGGTATTAACTTACTGCCTTAATCTCTCTCAAATAGCATCACTTGATTTTATTTGGAAAACTAAGAAAGGCCAGGGCTTGTTTACCTGCTCCTTAAAGAAATAGATATATACTGTAAGAGTATACAATTTTAATTTGTCAATCGTACTTCAATAAAGCCAGGGGGAAAAGTAAAATCTATTTTTAAAAAGAAACAAAAATTGGCAAAAGTTACTGAAAAAAGAGTATTATGGAATTGCTTTTTCAGTGCTATTTATTGACACAAAAGCTTACTGCTTAATCTTTAATCTAACCAATTTAATATAACAAAATTACATGTTTTTTTCACCTAAGGATTCTTATAGCAACATAGAAACACCTATATTTACAGTCACGATAAAAATACAACTCCAATTCTGAAAAACCCCTTGAACTTTCCAACAGGCCCTGTTCTCTTAGCTAAGAACTAAACTAAAATTTATTTTTTGTCTTCTGTCATAACTCTGAAACCAGCTACACATTAAAAAAGGGTAAGATGCCCTGAAAGAAAATGGTAGCTCAGTTTACAAGCTACACAGAAAGTCTATTACAATTCCCTTGCTGGTTCTCCCCCTTGTCCCAAGGATGGGTTAGTTAAAAACAGGCAATCATCGCCTCTCGTGCCCCAATAACTGTTTGGGCTAGGCAATTCTTTCCAACTGATAACTTTCATGATTGAAACAGTTCTAGGAAAAGTTCTAAGGCAAATCTAGGCAACCTGAGATAAGAGAACATTAGATGAAAGGCAGGATTCTTGAAGGCTGATCTTAAGCTTCCTGAGATAGTTCATGCCTCACATACTCCCACCAGGGCACCCTGTGAGTCAAGGAAGATGTGAAAGCCATCAGAAGCTTATCTTTTCCAGATTATAGACAACTTTTCAATTAGTCACAAGAGATGGCACTAATAGTCTCTGGAATTTAGGAGCTCTGAGAACACTTTAGTAATTCCAGGGATAGAAAATCGTTTTAGCTTTGCAATGGGATATAATTTTGTATGGCTCTTTAGAATTTTGTTAGAAAGGTCAATAAGACAATGACAGTTCATTTTGGCAAGCTAAAAATGACTCTTATGCTACTAAAATCTCTGAAAATTGTCTACATTAACAGCAATGTAGGTGGCTATATCCCAATAAAAAGGAAAAGGTGCCCAGCTGGCGTGGCTCAGTGGATTGAGTGTTGTCCTGTGCACCAAGAGGCCGCTGGTATGATTCCCAGTTGTATATGCCCAGGTGGTGGATTCGATCCCCAATAGGGGGCGTGCAGGAGGCAGTTGATCGATGTTTCTATCTCTTTCCCTCTCTAAAATATCAATAAAATCCCAGCCGGGTGTGGCTCAGCAGTTGAGTATAGACCTAGGACCCAGTCAGGGCACATGCCTGGGTTGTGGGCTCAATTCCCAGTTGGGGGCATGCAGGAGGCAGCTGATCACTGAAGACTCATCACTGATGTTTCTCTCTCTCTCCCCCTCTCCCTTCCTCTCTCTGAAATTAATAAAGATGTATTTTTTAAAATATCAATAAAAATATATGTATATTTTTTAAAAAGGTAAGTAGGTAAAGTGTGATGAGAGTAAAAAGATGTATCAAGATCCAATAAACAGACTTTCCCATTTCTCAAATGGAGCAACAGAAGTGTATTAAATATCTGAAGCAACTGAGCTAGCAGAACCAGGAGTAGAAACCAGGATTAATTTACTTCTTGCTATAACAACTAGTTTACTAAATGATTTATCAATGTTAATTTCATGAAGCACCACTGACTTGAATAAAAACAAGAAAGGCCAATTAGGAACCTGGCTTTCATAGATGCTTCTCTGACAGCATGTTTCCTTCTGTTCCCATGTAGTACTAGTCATACTGTGCATATTATTTTAGTATCCTTGAGTAGTCATGTGGCCCAACCCTCACCTCTAAACAGAATTGCATATAGTCAAGTACCAAGAACAAATATGGAACTCTGAATCCAAAATAAAATGGACAGAAGCCATCATTAATTTCAACAAATTTCTGAATGAGGAAAAACAAATGGAGAACTGGAGAGGGATGAAGCAGGCAATGTAATCATATCCCATTATCCTTGTTAGAAAGCTGCAACCAAGTTATAAACAAATCTGCCCTTTAAAACCACAGAGAGGCTCTTCAAGACGACTTTCAACTAAAGACCAACTCACTGTCCTAAAGCAGAAACCTGCTAGCTGACAGCCCTGCCCATGTACATAGAAGTCCTGATGAACTTATGTCATTGTTAAGTATAAATGGACTACACTTTACTACGTGCATGGTATATGCCCTAATTAAAAACTGAGTATAGACATGTAACCGTCATCACGCCATTCTCTAGATAATTAAATTCAAACTGCAGAAACATAAAAAACCGTAATTCATAATCCCAGAGATTCAAGAGCTACTAGAACCACAAAGAAAGGAATGCTATGAGAAAAGTACCAGTAACAAGAAAGAACAATGGAGGGAGGTTGTATGGAACAACGGCTGTACAGACGCCAAGAAGGAAACCAGTCAGGCTGGAGCGAGCCAGAGGACAGAGGGTTGGAAGAAGAGTCTAAGGCAACAAGAGGTCTACACACTTGATATTATGTTTGAAAAGCTGGAAAAAGGTAGGGGTGCAATGAAGATACACAATGCAAGAAGAAAAGGCCATTATAGAAACTCTACAAAAAACAAGTCTCTAAGAAAAGAAAATATAATCATTTGCTTGGAATGAGCCCTACATATTTAGTCATAATATGCATAGTAAGTTTTGCAAGCCTGTAGTTGACAGAACAAGAAACGCAGGTATGTTATCTCAATTTACAAAGATAATCAATATTGGAACAAAAAAACCCTCATGAGATAACTACACTGGAAAATAGGAGAAGCAGGAAAGATGGGGTGTATATGGACTAAGATGCTCATCTCACAGCAGAAAGTTAACAATGGCTATAGTTGGTAAATCAATAAATAACAGCATACGTACATTATTTAGAGATATGTAAATATCTCTAAAGAATAACTAAAACCAGAAACATGATTAAAATGATTCCCGCTGGAAGAGAGGAACCAGGAACAGCTACTTTTCACTCAAAATTCTTTAATATTTTAACTGTGCTCTTTATTATTATGGTAAACTCTAAAAAATGTATTTTAAAGAAAGGAGTAAAGAGAACACTCAGAGTCCCACAACATGATCACAACTACCATCAGACACTTGCCTCCACCTTGATGGCACACCGTCCAATGGCCCGCACAGCTTTGCGAACGAAGTCAACATCCACCTCTGTGGCATATTCCTTCAGCTCTGCCAGAACCTGTTAAACATCCAGGAGGTGAACAAGCATTAAGGATTCTCAAACAGCAATTCAATGGCCTAACTTTTTCTGAAGGCAAGACCTTAAGATCTAAGTCGTTATAAATTCGAGTCTACATAAAGTCTGACCTGAGCAATATTGGCTTGGGATGCCAAACGAATCATGATGTCCAACTTCTCCAGTTTAACATAGATGGGATCATTATACTTCACAAAGAAGACTTTGATTTCCTGCTTTAAGATTTCAGGCCTGTGATACATAGAAACACAAGATAAGGAAGGTGAGGCATTTATAGATATCTCCTTCTGAATCTGTATTAATGGCTCCTCTATGCCTCCCTGCTCTCCTCCCATCCCACCCCTACAGGAGAAAAAGCAGCCAACCCCCCCACATCCTCTATTCTTATCAGTTCTGCTTAGCAGACTAGTTTTATCCTTTAAAGGGTCAGGGTGCACACAGTCAAGAACTGCTGGTAGAAAAGCAATCTTGCTCTACACGACAGCCTGAACCATATTAAGCAGGTACTAGCTAGTATGCTATTAAAAGACCCCTCAGGAAACAAGCTGCATTGTAGAGGAACAACAGGCATTTGTTATAGGAACACTCCAAAATAAATCGCTAGCCTCCTGACCCAGGGCAAGCTGTTCAGCCATACAACACTATCATTTCTATACATTAAAAAGAGCTCAACAATGGCCTCTTTAATATTGATATTAAGCTTAATTCACAATTACGAAAACTTTAATCACTAATTCACTTTTTCCCAACCTTTTCTGGACAATTAGGTTGATGTTCCTCAGGGCGACGTACTGCACCTCTGGCTCCCCAGACAGCAAAGTGACAAGTGGAGGGGCCAACTTCTTCAGCAGCATATTATAGTAGTCAGAGTCCTTGGGTAACAACTCTAGAAATTTCATTAGGACTTTTACTGCTGAAAGCACCACTGCTGAGTTGGCATGAGAAAGCCGGGGAGTTACCCGCTCACAGATGCTGACGGATAAAAAAGGAAAATTAGCATCTTAAATTATTTCTTTGCCCAATCCAGTCTATACAGCAATATGTCAGAGTCCCATGGCCCAAGTATCAAGAAATTAGAGAACCAGTTAGAAAAGTCAAAGCTCCATGCGTAGGTAAAATTGGGATCCAACATTGCAGAAGCCTCATTCCCAGCAAACTACAGGCAGAGCAGGGACATCAGAAGACTTTAGGAAACCAGCAATAAGGGATGTTCAAACTGGAAGGAAACTTAGCCAATACCCAAAACACTTTAGTTCACACCATTTACCTTCCAGTTTTATAGTCCTCTCTGTCTCCCCATATTATGCAAGGGCTCCCTGCCTCACAGCCCATTTCTCCTCAACCTACAGGAAGTCAAATTAAGCATTCTGAGAGTTATTTCATATTGAGAGGTATCAACCAACTGTGGTTGAAGGTTTCACTGTTAAAATGTAGGAGGTGGGTTGTCAGGGTAAACTACCCAACCCTTTGCCTTCAGAATAATAAGGGAGTCTCTGAAAGGGTTTTTATTTGTTTTTTAACAGTAGTACACCACTACAATATTCTCCCAATCTTCTTCCCCTTCTCCTAGCCCCTGCCACCCACTTAAATGCCTCGTGAAATCTTGAATATTTAATTATCTGTTGAGGGGTCTTTAGAAAATAACCCAATTTTGACAGCTCTTGGGCAATGTAAGGGCTACTGACTATATTCAGTTAAAGACACAAGATAAGTATGCTGTGTTTCTTTCTCTCCCTCCTATATCTGCTTAGCCACTCCCTGCCCTCCTTCAGGTCTTTATACAAATGCCACCTTCTCAGTGAGGCCTTCCCTGACCACCCTTTTATAAAATACAAATCATCTGCAAATGCTCAGCATATCCTGGATCTCTTCCCTACTTTATCTTTATCATCAACACTTATCATATGACATTTTATACTATATATCTTCTGCCCCATCGCTGAGAATAGGTGTTCTATGACGGCTATCTGTCTGTCCACTGCTGTATCATATCCTTAGGGCCTAGAACAGTGCCTAATATACAATGTGGGCTCAATAAATATTTCCTGAGTGAATGAATGAATAAGTGTGAGATGTCAATGACAAACAGAAAATAAATTCTATGTAAAGTTCTTTCCAGAAGATATTTGTACTTTCAATGATGGAAAGAAACTGGTATACCAGAGTGAACTTTAGCTAACTCCAGAGGGAACAACTTCCCAGACAAGCAAAGAGCACTTACGATATAGAAGCCTGAGCTTCAGTCAGGCAAGGAAGGTTCTTATCTATTATATTAAAATGTCAACTTAATGAAGGGCCAACATTTCTTCAGAGGTACTTTGCCTAGTACAATGCCTATATACACAAAATGCTCAATAAAAAGTGGTGACAGCCCTGGCTCAGTTGGTTGGAGCATCATTCTGTGCACCAAAAGGTTGCAGGTTCAATTCCTAGTCAGAGCACATACCTGGGTTGAGGGTTTGACCCCTGGTCGGGGCACATGGGAGCGGGGGGCAAGCAATTGATGTTTCTCACATCTATCTTCCTTCCTCCTCCCCCCCCCCTTCCCCTACTATAAAATCAATAAACATATCCTTGGGTGAGGATTAGATTTAAAAAAGAACTGGTGATAATTTCAACTCTGTAAACTAAATGCATGTACATGTATACAAAATTTAATAGCCAATTTCTGATAGTAAAAGAAAATTTGCAACACTACAGTGGAAAAGGGCTGAGCAGAACAATCCAGGTGTGCCTTCCAAAATCTCCAAATTCAGGCTGACATGATTTCTATAGCTAATGGAAGACATCATATATTTTGCTGGCTCTAACACACTTTCTCTAGTACTGAATTATAGGTATAGCTCAACTCAATAACTAGTATCAAGCCAATTACTATGTATCTAATAGAATGAAAATTTTGTCACTACAGTGAGAGACACTCAAAAACCTTTGTCATATGGCCAGGAACTATTGTATGGGAGATATAAGGCCATGATGAGGAAGATTTTAGCACAGCATAACTATATTGTTCAAACAAGAAATGAAAAACACACATCTCTGAGAAAGAACTATTTCTGCATGGTTTACTCCACTACCTAAAATGTTCCTAAAAAATCTAGTAAGAAAATACCATGGGGATTACAGTATCTATCCCATAAGCCACTGATCTTCAAGATAATAGACTTTTATTCTAATACAGACACTAGAACTTATTAAGCCAGTCAAGACTCCCAGATACTATCCAGAAAACCAGACTGACCTCTGAGCCTCTCGGTCATCTTTAGGATTATAATTGGACAGGCAGTCGAGGATGAAAATCTGGCCCCATTCAGTGCACTCATTCAGGGCTGTCAGCAGCTTATTAATGTTCTGTGGGTTCAGATCAAGTAAGTTGCTGTTTGGGTGAGATTCACTGATTTCAGATAATGCTGCTACAGCATTAGCCACCACCTGGGAAAAAAGCAGATATGACCTTGATTTACCAACAGTAGTACAACTACAGACAAACTAATCTTCTCTTGACCATAGACCTCAACTCATAATTATTCCTGAATGTTTTACCTAGTCAACTAGAAACACATAAACTACCTTCGAAACATATATTAAACCACCAATGATGGCATATACAGCTTCCTAGTGGGTCAGACAACCCACTAGGAATTAAAACAATTCATATATTAGCAGAAAGTCACATATAACTTACGATTAAAATATTAACAGTTTAAGTAGTACTCAAAACTATCAACAGAATCAAGACATGAACGGCCAAAAAAAGCAGTGACATTTCAATATAAAACATATACATTAGGCAATGAAGAGAAAAATCTATGCCAAATATTTGTATAGGTGAGTGGGTATGTATGTATGGAGCAGGGAATGGAGGGGGAGAGATGACACTGTCAATCATATCACAAGTCTTAGAGTAAGAAAGTTTGATCTTGAAACCCTATTATATGATGTTGAAAGAACATATCATCTCTGTGAAATCTAGTTTCTCCATCTGAAAACTAGAGTAATTTAATCTACCTCACAGATTAACTTTAGTTTGAAGATAAAATCAGATGACATATGTATAAAATCTTTCTACCAAGGCTTATGCAAAATAAAGGTGGTAATATTACATAGTTCATCACATTAACATCTCTGCAGTTCTTTTCACATTAACATCTCTGAAATTGGGATGCATTTTAAAATCAATGGCACATCAGTTTAATGTAAAGTATTTTCCTTCCAGGTAATACAGCAAATAATAAAGCATCTTAGAATCAATGAAATATGGTACCTCAAATTTATCCTTCTTTCAGGCAGTATGATAAATAAAAAGTTGCTACCAAATAAAAGTAAACTGTAATCACAGATCTGGGAATTCATATTAGTTGCAAGAAAAAAGTAAAACACTCTACCAAAATTATAGGTATTTCTAATATAACTAACAAATCTACAACCAATTAATGTAATTTAAAACTTGCAAATACACCCATCCAAATAAATAAAAACTACACTATAGCCCTGCACAAATTTAAAACCACATTTTGCAGTGAGGCTCCCAGTTGTGACTAAAAATTAGCAAGGTAAGGCTCCATATAAATATCCTGTAAGTATAAATGAGATGTTATAGGAGAAAGCAACTTCAGTAATTATATATATTGAAAAGATTCTCCAAAATGTCAATTCATTGTTAGTTCTTACTGGAGTCCCTTGCTAAAAGTTTGAGAAACTAAGAGTTGTTACAATTATCCTTTTACTAGCAAGAGAAGAAATATAATGGGCATGATTTAGCTACGGATTTTCATATCCATATTATCTGGTAAATCTGTAGATTATCCCAGCATATGATTTTACCTAGAAAATAAGTCTAGAGAGGATGATTTTTTAACCAAATAACACACTTGTGACAATATCCATTACTACACTAAGGATAATGATGCCACAAAGGGAATCATCTTCGTCTATAATTTTAGTGGTCAGAACAAAAATTCCAAGATGAAAAATGAAAGGCTAATTTAAGTATGATTAAGGGTATAGTATTTTATTGTTAGTAAAACAAATCAGGAAGAATTATCTAGTCCACCTACTGCACGCTAACATGTATAAGGCTCTTTTCTGACTTAATTTTTGTTTCCTACCTCCACCATCAAACACTGTATTTAGTGAAAAATAAAAGGCATAAAAGAGTGAAATAATAATCCTCTCCATCCTCTCAGTGCTTAGCATACAGGGAAAATATATTTTTATTTCCTGTGTACAATATACTTGATAGACCCGATTATAGTATAAAGGATTAAAATGTCACTGGAAGACCAAATGCCTGTTTTTATCTGTTGCTGCCAACAAATGCCCAGCCTTGGCTCCCAGTTGTCCAAAATAAACATCCTACTACAACTTAACATTTCTGCCAGTCAAATCCTTTTAGTGTTAGAAAAGAAAAAGAAAAGCTAAATATAAGGTCCGTTAATAGGAAATGTAGAATAAAGGGTGAGATGGGGAAATTAAAAACATTGGAAAGAGAACAAAAGAATGCTGAACAGAATGAACAATTAGAATTCCTTTGTTATTATCATAGGCAATTAGAAATTAAACCAAGTGTATTATGCAGCCAATGAAGTATACGTTCTGGTGGTAAAATAGGCAATTTCTACTTATCACATAAAAACAAAAAAAGGAAATAGGAAAAAGTCAGTCTAATTAAATGATCCAGCAAGATCAGATTATACTATTATGTTTAGAAAAGCTTGCACGGAGAAAAGAGATCATTGCTAGTGACTAAGCCAATAACTGACCACAGGAGATGTATCCCCCAATAGCAAAACCGTACTGTTCCTCCAAAATTCCTTGAAGTTCTTTCTATTCTACCTTTCCACTTTCATCTCCTAATTGTCAAATTCAGATTGTTATGTTTTCAGAAGCATAGTAAGGGGGGCCCAAAAGGGGCTGTTTAGAGTTCTCCTGGTCAGTAAGCCATGGTTCTTTAACAGAAACTTAAAATAAGCCAGACATACTGACCCTAAAGTAGACAAAGAATAGGCTGACTTCAAGACAGCAACTTGGGTAGCTAGGATATATAGGATAAATCACTTGTCCATGGTACAAGTATTGTCTATTTAAAAAAAAATAAACCTTAAAACTTTTTTATTTCCTCTTCCCAGAGAGCCTTCTCCAAACAAAAATTCAGTATCACAAAAGAATGAATTTGACCCTTGCAGTAACTGCCTTGATTTATTGGTGTATTAAAACAAAGGTTTTCTCTCTCTCACTTGAACCATCACATATAACCCTTTCCATGAATTTGAACTAACACATGCAACATTTTTCCCTCTAGAAAATTGGCATTTCTCTTAGGAAACACTACCATGAGGAGAATAATGGCCTTTTAACTATAATCTCAGAAAAATGAGAGTTTCCAAGAAAGAAAGGAGTTTCTAAAGGAAGTTTTGTTTTAAAAAATGGATTTATAAATAAGGTTTCTTAAGCTTTATCAGTACGTTAGCTGACTTATAAAAAGCTGCCATCTAGGTTACAAAAGAACACATCCATAGGGTCAGAAAAAGTTTTAATTTATCTTGCTTGTCAATTGTGGTAATTTCTGTTTTTTGGGTAACTACAACTCAACATTCCTCCTCCACATTCCACCTAGACCTATTATGATATGTCTACTTTATAGATACAGATGTTAAAAACACATATACATACATGTATAAAAAGCACATATAGATATATGTAAAATCATACTACTAGACAAATCTTTCTCTGCCTTAGCTACAGACTTCTATTCAATTTGATAGTTCCTTATAGACGCTTGGAATCTGCTGAATTTTTTTTTTTTTTTAAGGTAAGCAATTTGTGTTTTGACTTAATACCATACCTAATTACCTAATAGAGTGAGTTAAACCAAGGGATAAAAGACAGTAATAGGTAAAATTTATTGAACATTTACTATGTCCCATTAATCCTCACAGCAACTCTGAGGTAACTGCTATCAAAATCCACCTATTACAGATAAGAAAACAAGCTTTTTAAATGAATTTATAAGTACAGAATTAGAAGAATTCAGTGACTTGCTCAGCCAACACAGCCAGAAAGGGATAGTGCTTGAATATGAACGCAAGTTCTATACCTGATTCCAGCGTCTGAATACTAATCATTCTGAATCCAGCATTTACAGAAGTTCTGAGAACTGTGCACTTATACCAGGGGAAAGGGAAAGAAAAATCAGAGCTGGGAGAGGATATTATAATCAAAACATTATTTCTAGGCAAAGGCGACATGCAGATTTAAACAAGGAGAAACATTTATTCTTCTACTTCACATATTTCAGAGACAATCATATCCTGGCAGCACTTAAAAAACGGCAATATTTACTATCTAGCTATAAAATCTGATTTATAAGCTACCCCTATCTTAATGCAGAAATTCTGAGGACATAAATTTGGCCTCATTTTTTCAAAAAAGGAGCAAGCTAGAGTGATGGATATGATTAGAATAAAAATGATCCTGGCCCAGCATGCATGGCTCAGCGGTTGAGCATCAACCTATGATCCAGGAGATCAAAGTTCAATTCCTGGTCAGGGCACATGCTGGGGTTTTGGGCTGGATTCCCAGTGGGGAGCGTGTAGGAGGCAGCCAATCAATGACGACTCTCTCATCATTGATGTTTCTATCTCTCTCTCTCCCTTCTTCTCTCTGAAATCAATAAAGATATATTAAAAAAAATAAAAATGATCCTGTATTAAAGAACTCTAGAGGAAATCTAGATATACACTGGGAGTGGAGTATCACACACAGAAGCTCCTTTATGAGAAATCTCTCACATTCCCATCCCTTTGAATGATTTTCATTTACATTCTAATTTCATTTTCATAGTTTCAGAACCCAAGAAAGACATCACTTTCTAGCATAGTGACTTCCTCCTATTAACTAAATTACTACTTAGAGGGCTTTCTTTTCTAGCAATGACCTTCAAGGTCACACACTCTGAGCAGATTAATGTTTCAGTTTTACCATTCCATTTACAATCCTTTTGACTGGTGCCCCCGAAGACCTGAATATAGTGAAAGCAGAAGAACTGACCAAAACTATTAGGATGAAATATATAAGTGGTTTATGTATTTTCATCGTCTTAAAAAATCAGCAACATTTTGGAATCTTGCTTTATCCTTTAGGGAGTTGTCTCAAGTGACATGTTAAAGAACAGAGTGAGATGTTACTTGTTCGAAGCATCTTTCCAAGAGACTGAGGTTCGATTCCCGGTCTGGGCACATGCCTGGGTTGTGGGCTTGATCCCTAGTCGGGGGATGTGCAGGAGGCAGCCAGTCAATAACAACTCATATCATTGATGTTTCTCTCTCTCCCCCCCTCTCTGAAATCAATAAAAATATATTAAAAATAAATAAATAAATAAATAAACAAATAAATAAAAAGCAATGGAAAAATATCCTCGGATGAGAATTAAA